AACAAGTGCATCGCTTCTAGTAACAAAGGCCTTACTAGTAGTAACAAGAAGCTACTAGGAACAAGAAGCTATAGGAACAAGTGCATCGCTTCTAGTAACAAAGGCAATACTAGTAGTAGTAACAAGAAGCTACTAGGAACAAGAAGCTATTAGGAACAAGTGCATCGCTACTAGTAACAAGTGCTGGAAGGATAATGAAGGGTCGTGGATCTTCAACCGCAGCTGTCGACCAGTCGTCGACCAGTTGTCGACTTTCAGGCGCTTAAGAATATTCTGATCCAAATGTATGGCTCCAAGGCGAGGGCTTTGGACCGTAGTTGACTGGTGTTCTCCAGGACAGTCCCACTTAGAAACATCCTTCCTCACGGCCATCCCCCTTTTGAGACCTCTCCAGACCTCTCAACTCTGATCGGCAATCCACAAAGCTGCATTCAGAGTCTTCAACATGCGAAAGAAGTGGTTGGGAGGCCGTCGCTATCAGGCTATTAGAAAGAAGCGGCCTTGGGAACTCAAAGATGAGCATGTCAAAGGGGTGGGTGCAGATACAATACAGGGATGATGCAGGTAGAATATTGAATATGCCGATTTGACATTGATGAAGGACCGTTGCTATCCCAACCCGTAACATTTGGCCCTTGAGCACTCTAGATATCTACAAAGACATTGAGATTGTGAGGGAAAACGGCTCCTTGTTGATCCAATGGCTTGCCATGCAACGTTAAAGCTGCAACATATTCCAACAACATGTTTTTCACACCCGCCCTAATGCGATGTTTGAATATTCTAAGTGCATGCATGTATGTAATTTTTGAATATTGTCACTGCTAGCCCGCTATGTTAGGTTGGAGGCCATTGCTATTGAGCCTCACACTTTCATCCCCAAGACTAGACTAATCTTTTGTCCCAAAGATAAGGTCTCGACCATAACACGAGGCAGGCCCTTGGGTCTACAAGCCCCTACCTGGAACACAGTGGTCGGTTCCAACATTCCCATACCCGTCGTGTTCCAGGTGCAGCATTTACCCAAGACCCTTTCCCTTTTTCTGACAACAATGTTTCCCTGTCTCTACCTTTTTAGCCCGTGGCCCTGCTTCCTAACTTAATTAAGTAAGGGAGTAGTTCGCTCCTAGCTACTTAAGCTACTACACATGGACCCAGGATAGCTCACGCTTCCTCAAGGAAGCCCCCCCCCCGCCTGAGGGCTAGGGGAGCTTTCTTGAAGAAGTGCTCGCACTAATAGCTTGGTTCCTAGACTTTTAGGGAAGCTTAACAAACTATGTCTCCCTGCCGTTACCTTTTCTTGTCTTTTGCTTTCTGCTCCTTTTGCCTTAGAGCTTTTAGACTTCTTTGTTCTTCCTTTCTTCCTTTCCCCGTCTCTCCCTTCCTCCTCCTTCCTTCCTTCCTTCCTTCCAGGATTTCCTGAACAACCATCTTGGCTTCATTGCAGCGGAAGCGGCAAGCCCTGTGCTGGTGGATGCGTTTCTGGCTTTCAAGCGGGGCTGGGATGAGTTCAGGCGGGATCTGGACGCGGACTTGACGCATTCGGTGAACTTTTTGCGACTGTGAGGCCGTCGGATGAGCTGCGAATGCAGGATTTGCAAATTGCGTATATCTATGGAAATCCGAATGCGGTTGGGTCGAAGGACTCCTTTCTGCGTTTGCATTTCTGCGTTTGCATTCTTCGCTTTTCCTTTGACTGTGTGCTGTGGCAGGACAATTTGGACTTTGCCCAAGGAGAAATGGAAAGAAAGTAGACTTGATACTGCATCCGACTACATCATAGTTAATTTGTACTTGCAGAAACTCCCCCCCAGAAAGTCTTTTGTTTAATACTGCGAGTCTAAACTGTTCAATGCTTTCTTTCTGCCGTACCTTGGGCATCTCCACCTTTCTGTATCTATGTGTGGGGAAGCGTTGTGCGGAGGAGACGAATACTATCATCAGGCACACAAGCAGTTCCATCCTACCTACCGAGCAATCCTTTACGAGCGCAACTACTATGACATTTTCATTTTCGATTTGCAAGGCTGGGGGAGAGGTGAACATTTCGATCATTGTAAGAAGACTTATGCAGAGACGTCAACCAGATTCACTGGTACCAAGGCAATCTGATTTACTCGGTGTACAAGGACCATTTTGTGCATTTGTCTATAATTATTGAGCTAGGACGTTTCAAATTCAGTCATATTGAGGTCAGAGTGATGGGTGATTGAGATGAGGAGCTGGATTATGCTACAAATTTCTTGGCCAATGGTGCCGGGGAATGGAAGGATAGTGGCCTTGGAGAAGCTTTCCGCGCCGCCGTGGTCAACCCCGATATCATCAACATCATAGACTGGAAGCCTTACGGGCTCCTTGGCAGCGTTTGGGTTGAAAGCAGCTGAAAAAACAGCTGAACACTCAAAGATATCGCTCGTCGCTCACCCGTTTGGACTCTTTCCAGTCTTTGGTGTGAGTTGCTATATCCAGTACACTACAGCTAGTGAGTTGGACATACAGGTCAGAATTTGTTGATTGATATGAATTATTATGTTTTTTCGTATAGAAAGGAGCCTCTCCTGTTTGACAGTGCTTCGGTCACAGTACCCATGGGCCCCTGGGCACCACGATTCACCGGCTGTCCCATGCATTCTGTCCATCCTCAGGGTACGTGCACACAAGAAGCAGGGAGGGAGTTTCACCGCCACAAACGCTCCAGGTTTCCTAAAGTCACAAAAAGACGACAGAGATGCCCTTGTTATACTGGTAGCGGTGCCCTAAGGCCAGGAGCTAATAATAGCGTCCTTGCTCCTAGTAGCGACGCCCTTGTTACTAGTAGCTTCTTGTTCCTAGTACTAAGGCCAGGAGCTACTAGTAGC